CTTCGAAATATATATATATATACCGTTCCTGCCCGCTGACTGAATTGATTGTTTTTGAGTAGATACTCTAATTTTAATTGTAAAATTTATTTTGCAACTGTTTTTAACTTTTATTTAGAAAACCTTTTATTTGGTATTTTACGATTTTCCATATTTTACTGTTTTTAATGAAGATATTTTGAGTTTTATGTACATTTGCCTTGCCGCAAAGTGAGAATTAAATGAATCGATTCAGAAATACATCTTTAATGAAATTCGAGGAAAAAAATTGAATGAATTGCAACAAAAAATTTTATAATTTAATAGGACGAAGACAAATGGTGTACGAAGAAGTCATGGAGTGTCCACACCAGATATTTTATGTTTCATGCTTCAAAAAATAACCCTAATATCTGCTAATTATTCGGTATTTTTACTCAGTTAGATGAGCTGAAAACGTAATTTTTATCTCATAAAGCTGTAATTAGAGAAAACAAAGACACCACAAAACTTTACACTGTATTCGACGCATCATCATATGCTGAAAGCAAACTGCCGTTAACAGAGCCTTGTGGCTTTTGGAAAATCTAGTTGCGGTTCCCGAACTTTCCTTAAACCCAACATGAGGCTCTTATTGAATGAATTTTGGCCCCCACCTGATATATATATATTCTTACTAAATCTCTGACTACGATGCAGCAAAGGATATAAAAACTCCTTTTTTACTGATTTCCTTTTTTTTTTTTTTTTTTTTGTTGTTGTTGTTGTTTTTTGCACCTTTTCATGCAATTAGTCACTGTGATTCTCGATTTTATTTTAAATAGCTTGTTCCGAATTGAATATGGGATAAATTTAAAAGTTTTATTTTTATTTTTTACTGTACAGTATTATCACCAACTATTGCAGCTATTCAGTGCATAGTTTGATAAGTTTTTGAACTGCTATTTACTTTCTATTTATATATATATATATTTATTTACATACATAGATACACATAAATACATGCATATCTATCTATCTATATAAAGTGAGAGAGTGTGTGTTGTATATATAGACAGAATGATTAGAGATTAATTTTTTTCAACCAGTATAGAAGTATAATAAGCCGTAGGGAGGCAAAACCACTGATCGTGAAAATCCATGCACCATGAAAGACAGACTGACAGTTTTCAGTAATAATTACTTTAAAAAACACATTGGGAACTTATATTTGTAACAAACTGCTGAGATGTAACAAATTATCATTAACGTATTAATAACATACAAGCTATATTTTTTTAGAAGTCTGAAACTCATTGCTTTAAAAGTTAGGGTAATATTAAAATCAGCAGCATTGAAATATGTAGAATAAAATATGAAGTTAGAAATTTAAGTGGCATTAAAATGAACATCAATGATTTTCTGCCAAAGAAACAAAATGCCGAAAAATTGTAAACCCGCAAGTAAACAGTTATAATGTCTAAACTTTAGCATCAGATTTCCAGAGCACTCTCTTAAAAACATCCTTTAAATGATTAACAATGTTTAAACAAATGAATGTTTAAACAACACTAAATTGATAAATAAATCGAATACAAACATTAAATTTACAGGAAATCGCAAAAAAAAATTATCCCTAGTGTAGAATTCCAGACGAGCCAGCAGCTTATCCTAAAACAAAATTGAAAAATACTTAACATATTTATTCATAAAACTTTAATGATTTTGAAAGCAGATTTGAGAGATTAGAAACGTATAATGGCTATTTTAACTTTTTATATTAGAAACAAAATTTAGAAACATTGATGAACTATTGTAGGACTTCGGAAAGAACATTATCATATGTAGAAATAAATATTATTAGAGGTAGAAATTAACTTGATGCACTAAAAATGACACTAATCATATTCCGCCGTAGAACTAAAATGCCTAAAAACTGTAAATCAGTAATTAAACAATTAAGTTTCAATTTTAACATTAGATTTCCAGAAACGGCGATTTTAAAGAGATAGCCTAGGCAAGCAATGTTTTTGATCAAAAATTGTTTTGCTCAAAAAATAAATTTGATTTAATGTGGAAATTTGCTATGAAAAAATGTGAGATAAATTCGCTTTACATTTGAGGTATGAATTCGTATGCATATAGTTTTCTATTTTTCACCTAAAATATTCTAAGCATGCAATTTGCTACTGATATTAATTTTAAAGGCTATTAGCATTCTTTTTCTGCCATTGTTATGTTACCGCATTTATTATTCACATCTTTAAGTAAGTGACACATTTTTCTTTTCACAAGTCAAAATCTTTCCATGCATGGATCTGTTTAAACTGCCACTTCTCTGAAGTAATGCTTTTATCCCAAGATATTCCATAATATCTTCGTTAATTTAATTTTTGAATTTGAAAAGTACTCTGTTGAATTGAATCAAAGATTAGAAGCAGTATACTTTCTCCATAAGGATTTATATTTTTTGTGGAACTTTTTTGAATCTCTAACTGATCCAATTGGCATTGCATAAAATGTTAAGAAGTTGAACAAAATAGCGATTGAGGAAAAGACTGTTTTTATAGTATGACAATATAATGTTATATATGTTTTTATAGTATTTAATGAGACACTTAATAGAAGCAAGAAAATTACTTTGTTAAAAACACGTTTAATTTTTCACAGGAGATATTTTTCCATAGAAATATATAAATATGCTCAAAAAATCTGTGGTTTCTTCTAATTTTGGTTTTTAACTATCTACAGCAGCCGATTTTTAACGTTTTACTGTATGTAGTTTTTCCATTCCTTTAGTCATTAGCATTAATGGTTGTAAAAATTTAATTAGGTTTTTAGATGTTTTTCAGCTTTAATTGCGTTTGCTTTTATTAATATTTTTTCTAAGTAAAGCTTAGGTCAATAACGAAAGCGAAAATGCTTTACTTTTTGTTTTTAAGTGTCATTTTTTTACGCAAAAGCGTTGCAGTCTAGTAAGAACATTCATTTGCATATAAATCAATAATATTTTTATATTTTAAAGATATTTCTGTTATCATATGCAACACTCCCTAAAATCCCTCAACAAATTCCTTTATAGGTAATTGCATATATAATATTGCCTTATACATTTTTCTAAAACTTCATTTTTTTACTATATTTTTCTCAAAATAGATTTTACGATTATCTAATATCATTTCCTGAAACCTATCATACATTTTATGCAGAAATTATATAGGTTTGCTAGAAAAGCAATGCATTTCGAGTCAGAGAATATCAAATAAAAATAAAGATATATTGCATATGTTTAATCATTAATGCAGTCGCCATCATTTTCTGTGACTCTTGCTTATCCGCAACTTTTCAAGCCTTCTTTTTTTAAAGAGTTTTGTTTTCCCATAAAGTATATCTTTACTACATTTCTGTTCTCTTGTTTACTATGATTTTTTTTTTCATAAAGAGCGTTTAAGAACTCTAAGTAGGTAATAATATGAAAGGAAGTATCTAACCCTTATGTGGCTGAGAAAAATTTCCCGTCCGAAAGCATTATACTTTTGTCGAGTCATTTTCGCTGCATGCCATATATCGATATTCCACTAGAGAACTGCACCACATCTGTTGACCACGTCCGGTTGTTCGGTGGTAAACTCGTTTCAAATTATCTAGCTAATGATAATGCATGTCTACATCAGCAATTTTCATTATTTTCTATTATTTGAAAATAAAGCATACCTTTCGTTTATCAATACGGTACTAAGCTCGCGTACGTTCCCTTTTCTTTTAATAATTCTATCGGTCAAAAATTGAAACAGGAAAATTCTGAGAGTAATTTGATTTCCGAAGAACGTGGTTACAGTAATAAATAAAAAATGAAAAGTAGTCATGGTTAAATTGCAGGTAACTAGCTTCCGACGCGTTTGACTCTATTATCTTGTAAAGCACTTCACATGAATTATTTTTGACTGCACATCAGCAGTGAATAAGACTAAAATGACCTGGAACGTACTTAACAGAAGTAAGGTGAAATCATATGTTTCGAAAATTTCTTAAGTGTGAGAATACTTGCCCCGTCCAGAACAAAGAACCTGCGCAAAGTGCGTTTCAAGTAATAAATGCAAGGGAAGATAAAATAGATGAAATGCTAACACGAAAGTGCAGGTGCAAACTGAATGCACTGAATAAAAACAAAATTAATCAATGGAATGAAGTTTAGCACTAAACTAGCCCACAGAGGGAGAAACTATGTGCAATAGAGGAAGGGGGTAAATAATGCGAATACCTTTTATAAATTTAGAGCGCAGCACTAAAAATCTTCAAGAAACAATATGTGACGGAGAAAATAGGCGAGGAAATACGGTACTTGCAAAGCTCAATCGTCTTCATCAGGAATCCTACTTTTGCTGTACATTCTAGCTTCTCTTTTGAGCTCAAGCACTGTCTTTATCAAGTAACATTAGTATTAAAAATTCATCTTTAATCTCTATCAGTAATCATTGTGATGCATGTATTGTAGAAGTTGAAAAAATTCCGATTCTTGTAAATATCTGTAATTAAAATGACTTTTTATTCTTCGTTCTTGCGTGGTTCTGGGTTCATATTTCACATTCACTGTATTAAGTAACTTATTTTTTGCCATTTTTCATCGCCTCTTAAAGTTATGACACCAATCCGTTACATTTTGTATGACTTATTCAACTCATATACTTTGTAATTCCTAAATTAGGTATTTATGACAAAACATCAAGCATCTTCTGATACGATTGGCAGGAAATCTACTTAAAGGCAGAAATTACATAATGCATTAATGCATCAAATTCGTTGCAATATTGATTATTGTGAAATTGTAGAGTTTTTAAAATTTCAAGCTATTTGCTCAGTTACTTCTACGTTTAAGCTATTCTGTTGTAATACATGTAAAATTCATTCCTTAAAGGTCTTTAAACCAGTCCTTCAATTGCCTTTGCAGTTTCAGATGGATGAATCAAAGTAAAACAGACGCAAGTTTCAGTTGAGATGAAAATTTATATCCTTATCACTAAGAAATTTTGTTTCTTTTCTAGACTTACGTAGCTGATATCTTCATGTCACAGAGTTGGAAGGATTACAGGCTGAAGTTACCAGAAAATATGACCATGAAATATCGTTTGCTGCCTGTAAGCTGGCTGAAAAGGATGTGGAGGCCAGATTCCTTCTTCAAGAATGCTAAAAGAGTGACTTTTCAGGAAATGACCATTCCCAATCACTACATTTGGCTGTACAGTGATAAAACCATACTTTATATGGTTAAGTGAGTGCTCTTTTTTTTTTTTTTTCTTGCTTCATTCTCGAGCATGTTCTAAACTATCTTTGGTTCATTTAAATACGACAAAGGACTCGATGACTATCTGCCTAAAGGGAGGGAGGCCTTCATGGACAACTTTCAACGGAAATTGTGTCGTATACTAGTTATACATGGGAAAAGCCACGAAAACGTCCATGCACCTAGATCGTTCGCAGGGATTCGAACTCCGGTCTGAAATATAAGCGTTCGGCATGTTTATTGCTCAGCAGCTGCTGCTCTGTTCTTAAATATACAATGGGAGCCATAACAATATCTAAAAGTCTACAATGCATTCATCAATGTCTAGTCAATAGGTCTCTAATCTCTTTTTAGATGTTATTAATAAGATTAAATAATAGTTAAGAAGATTTTGCTTAAGATCGTAGTGCAACATATTTTAAGAAAATTCTACAAAATCCTCAGGCTAAAATGTTTTATATTCCTTCTTTTAAATGAGGATGAAGTGCCTGGTTAATAAGCTGCTATCACACATTTGTTTGTTTCGGAAGAACAACTGTTTGGAACAATTTTTCTGCTTTCTCACAACAGCCAATCGCCACAGATCGATTTGGGGTTAGTTAATACAGGGGAAATTGGTTTTCAATTACAAACAAGCTGATAGCTAATTGGTTGAAAATGAACAACTTGCAATTTTTTCGAAAGGAAGGGGAAAATCGCACGTCTTTCTTTCAATTGGTAGAAATTGTCCGAAACAGTTGTTCGTGTGAAACAAATTCGTGTGTGATATGTGAACGTTTCAACTGAATGGCGCAGCTTTTTGAAAATTTTTATTTGATCTATGTATTTAATTAAACTTTCAACATTTAACAATACCCTTAAATTCTTAATATTCTTTTTTTAAAATCAAAAGTCTATTTGTTTCTAAATGGAATTTTGCGTTAGTTATCTATAAAAGGCAAATCGCTTTTCAAATTTTTGTCGTCAAAAATTATCACTCTCTATTATTTTTAAAGAAATTAAATAAAGAATCAGCATGTATGTAGGTATGTTCCTATCATTGTAAAATAATGACAGTACGTAAAGCCATTAAATTCTGAATAAGGTAGCCCTCCACCTGAACATGTGCACCTGGAAGCCTCAATTTTGAATTTCGAATTCGTCAACCCAGATGGGCGTTAGCCCAAATTAGTCTCGAAACGGCATTTTGCGTTGAATCGCTATAAACAGCTATATCATTTTTCAAATTGTTGCCACCAAATATTATCGCCCTGTATCTCTATAAGTGTATGTATGTTTTTCGCACTGTAAAAAAAGAAAACGATATTTAGTGTCATAAAATTTTGAGTCCTGCACCCGAACATGGTCACCTCAAAGCCCGAATTTGAACTCAAAGACCGAATTTGGAATTTTTTTTTGTCTATTTCATATTTTGTAAAATTTTAACGAATTTTTTATTATAAAACTCAGCAATTTCAAAGCGAACTATGGCAACACTATAAAGAATAAAATATTTTTATCTCCAGGGCACGAAACTGCCTAATGAAAATTCTGAAGATATGCTGTTTTTAAATATTTTTAGCCCAAAATGCCAATTAGTAAAAAACATTAAAGCAACAATTTAAAGCATAATATGTAGAAAAAAATAAATAAGTAAAACCATTTTTAAAAAGGTCAATTAATTTACGTTAAATCGTAATTTAACAAATATTTTTTTCCGTTAACTAGCTAGGACGGAACAACCTTTCAGTACTCATTTCGCCAAGGCACTGACGGTGCTTGCGTAATAGGCGATACTCATAAGAATCATGTTAAGTGATCCTTTCATAAGAATCATAAGAATCATGATAGTGAAAAGTGAAGTTATGTGAAAATTCTAATCAAAAATTTTAAACACTAATTTCTAATTTCACTGTTTAACGTGCGTGTTACTGTTTACCCTTGTTATAATTAGCCTCTAGTTCCCCCCCCCCTAAATATAGCCTTTACGAAAACAAGAAATAAGAGAAAGGTTCTTTTACTTCATGAAGCAGATGCATTAACAAAATTAGCATAATAAAATTATGCATATTTTCATTTGAAAATTTTTTCTCAGATTTCGATAACATTCTTAAATGACAAAAAGACTTAGAAAATGTTAAAATAAAAAATGAAATGGTAGAGTAAAAAATGAAATCTGGAAATTATAATTTGTTCAGACATTCATTTTTGTGTGCCTGAAACAGAGAATTAAATTGCCTTCGTTTGCCATAAATGGCATAACATTTAGTTATTCACGTTATTATAAAGATATTAAACATAAAATATTAACTGCGTAAATTAATTTGCATTTCAAATCACCGGAATTAAAGCATAAGATGTTGCATTTGATCTACAAGAAATGAGAAAGGAATTTAAGTTTTATTATGACATTCTTTTCACTTCTATAACAGCTTTAATTAAAACGAATATCATTCTCTTCGATCTCTTTTCCTTTTAGTTTCCTATTAAATCTCAGAAAAAGCGCATAAATTTTCACTACTGCTTCGTTTTTTTAACGGTAAATTTAATCACTTGGAGATTTCCTCTCCCATAACGTGGGAGAAATCGTCATTTCATCTTCCCCATTTCCAAGTAGATGGACAGAAATTAAACTAATTGCGTGAGAACTTAAATGCACATAATTTTATTTCCAATAATTTATCTTCTCTCCTATCTGTCACCATCCGAGATTCAAATGGTTTCGTTATTTCCCGTAATTATGATTAATACCTTATAGCAAATGTTCAGTGACGTTTTATTCCATCCAAGATAGAGAGATCATTTTTCAGCATACTGCTTAATCGCAAAACTAAATGAGATGCTATATGCTCAAAGTAAGTTTAAATCTGTTGAAAATGCTTCCAAAACAAGAAGTATCAACTTTTCTTTTGTTATCATAAAGCTGCTTGCGATGCTTCGTTTCAGAAATGAAATAATAATTATTATTAATGGGTTTAATTGTTTTCGCTTCTTAGTTTTACGAGTCATTTGAATTTTTTCGGGGGCTAGGGAAGCAGCAGAAGATGTGAAGGAAAATGTGCATGCCCTTGCTGAGACTCGAACCCTGGACCACTCGAATACTCGTACAATAAGCATCCAATTACACCATGATGATATGCAGAAAGGAGGAAGAAAATGTCTAATAACTAAATATTGAAAATCATATGTGTTTCCTCAAGTAATGGTTGCCAAATCTGTGCCCATTGATGAAATTCTGCTGCGACTTAGAGCACAATTTATTCTTACTTATACCCTTGGAATATTATGAACACTAAAATGAACATTTGTATATTAACACAGCCGTCGCAATATTATAATTATTTAGCTACAGATGATAGCTTAAGTGAAAAATTGTAAATCACTCTCTCTCTCTCACTCACTCTCTCTCACACACACTTTCTCACACTCTCTCTTACACACTCTCTTTTACGCTGTCTCTCTCTCACTCTCTCTCTTTCACTCTCTCACACTCTCTCTCACATACTCTCTCTCACACTCTATCACACACCATCTCTCACTCTCTTTCACACTCTCTCTCTTTCACACTCTCTCACTCACACTCATTAATAATGTTTTGCAAGGCTCAGTTTTCAAAACTTTATAAGGCGTACTTAAACAACTCTTGCATAAGAAAGTAAATTATTAATATTTAAGGTAATATTTTTAAAGTAGTTTAATTATTTTTTTCTAAAAGTAAATAGCTTTTCAGCCAAAAAAAAAGTTTTCATACTTAACTAAGCAGTTATTTCCCAACAAAATAATTTTAGAGTAACACTGGTGTAAAGGTACTTCCTTATTATAACGGCCTCCAAAATGTAATCGGTAATCAACCGAGATATAACATATAGTGAGGTAGGTTTATTAAATATTCAGTTTTGGCGGCCGCTATAGCAAAGAAGTAACAATGTAAATTTCTCTATAATGTATTTCTCTATAACTTAATAATATTACTCTCAATTGTTGAAGAACTTCTTATAACAACTTGTTATAAATAAACATTTTATAAATTATGTTTTGCATTATTTATATAATATATTATTTATATAATATATATATAATTTATATACTATATATACATTATTTATATTAATATATATATAACATATATATAAGAACTTGTTATAAATTATGTTTTGCATAATTACAATCCCCTTTCCACTTTTGCATTTATTTTTCATTCTTTATACAAAAATGTTTTACTGGGAAAATAAAAGTAGGAGAACTCAGATCACACTAATTCTGCCTTTTCACCTTAATATCTTTTCTGTTCTAAAACATGCAACTATTGCAAGGTAACATTCTCCTACCATTTCCACTCAGTACTTTAACAGAGATATAGCACTCTTTCAAAATACTACTCATGCCTACAAATCGCTTTCATGAAACTCCTCTTCAGTGGATGTAAATATAACAGACTGTAGTGAAAATATTAATTAGAAGTAGTAAAAATAAATATCACGGCACCATATGTGGTGAAAATAATATTGAGAAGAGCTATATGTGGTGAAAATATTTGTATGTAGTAAAAATACTTATATATTTTAATTTCCTATGTAATGATGATGTGTTAAATTCTGTAAGCTATGAGAAATATTTAATATAATTATACAGGTGTATAAGTGATAACCAAAATTTTGAATATCAATTCTATCAGCGATGAAGTTATAACAATGATTAAGAGTACATCACGTTGTTTCCGCAATAACCCGAATGATAGGGATAAAATAGTGACCCACAGAGGATAGCGAGATAGCAAAAAACATAAAAGTACTATTTACCCCAGACTTGCGAGTGATAGTAAATCAGAACTATCTTGATATCAGGAAAATACTGAAAGGTTCCAGGAACAAAAGCTTTCGGAAGATCAGTATGCATCTGCCGGAGATTTATCTTTCCTATCGAACCCAATAATCTTTGTAAAGTCGTGCTGAATGCTGACACATTTCAAATCAAAAACAAAAAAAAATGTGAAACAAGATTTGTAAATC